GAGGCGGGTGTAACGGGACTAGGAGAAGGGAATTGTAACGTATGAGATCGCTCCCGTCCGCTCCTGTCCAAGTGGGGCTGCAGAAGCAACTGCAGTATGGACAGCTGCAAATTAAAGTTGCTGACAGGCATCGAATTAAAGCCTGTCAAAACAAAACTTTTCACCCAGCTCGGCGACAATAAGTGTGCGGTCTTGCTTCCACTCGCTACTTTCCTCCACAGTGGCATTTAAACGGACGCAGGGACGGTCGAAGGGTTCACAAACTCGAGCGGATTATCGGATATTTGCAGATGATGAGCAAACGCGGGATAAGAAATCCAATTTTTTTCTCTAGAGTCGGTATTACAATTTTGCCGTATCACACATTCACATCTGGAAGGCCGACATGAAAGTTTAGGCATATTCCTAAGCAAAGAATGAAGAAGTTGCAATCTCCCAGGAAACAGACTCCCGTGTCGCGAGTGCGATGGCAAATAATCTGAGACAGAGTTAGTTTCAGAGGTAATGGAAAGTTTTGGAATGGTTCCTGTCGACACCATGGTAATTAAACGTATAAACGGCTGCGGATGGAATGGAAACTCAAAAAATTGGCCGATGGTATCAACTAACAAACATGTGACCTAAAGGCACATCTACTACAATTGTTGCACAGAAACCTATGCGGCAGCTAAACGCGAATAGCACCTGTCGTGTCCTGATCTAGTGCCTCTATTGGTCCAGCACATCTACCACGCGGCCTGTTTAGGGGGCAAACTCTATAAATAGCGGGCTCGGAAAGTGGCAATGAACTCGAACGAGGAAGAATGTCATAAAGGTCATAGACTACCGCCCGAAAGTTCGATTGTCAGTTTCGATGAGGCCCGTCGTGTGCACCAGAGCAAGGTGGCGCAGGGACTTGGGCGTGGATTAGATGAAAGTTATAGCAGACTTGCGCTGTATCTACCGCACTCTTTCCTCCTACCGCACCTGGGCCCCGTGTCAAGACCAGGTCAAAAAGACCGGAGGTAGGAGAGGGCGCAGGTAGTTGGCGTGGTCGGAGCCGCTCCTAAGCGTACCGCCACGCCTGGTTCACATCCTAGCTGAGGGGGTGTGTCACAGAAGTCACAGAAAGAAGGAGCCATTCTGGTTTGAATCTCGAGCCAACACTCAGCCACTTTACATTGGACTGACAGCAAGTTCTCAGTGCAATCCCCAGTTAGCAGCCTCCCCAGCTATGGCTCTCCGAAAACACGCTGCCAAGAAAGAGGCATGAGGAAAAGCCAGTTGAACTCTGCGTAAACCCCTGACCACATAATTCAACTGGCCAGAATTAAGTTCTTTTTACAACGATCATGCGTACTTCTTCACATAAAGTGAGCCACATACCGAGAACAGTCGAGTTGAAGTGGGCCATAGGTCTATGACCAGTCAAAGAGAAGTTACTTCGCTTGATTGCGACCTGCACTCGCTGCAAAAGGCGATCAAAAATCACTTTTTAGGACAGAATGAGCGAGAAAGTGGATTTGAATTTTGCGCCAAAAAGTCCAAACCTGCTCGGCTATAAACACGCTAGCATGATTGGTTTCCCAAACAAAACTGAAAACTGAATTTAGAAAGACTACTTGAGCTTATTTCGAATTAACGTTCAGGGATTTTTAAATACCCAGAGGTACTGAAACATGTCTATTAATAACTGTAAACAAATACTATAATGACTTTCAGCAAACCCGTCAGACAACTCCGTTAACAACGTAAATTATTTGCAAAATTAGCGACCGGAAGCAAAGAGCCCATAGAAAGGGCTTTCAACGGAAATGTAATCACTTTCTGAAACACTTAAACTGCCCCTTAAAGTTCTTGTTTTCCAACCCACAACTATTATATTCTATGAAATCAGTAGGTAAAATGTTGGGCAGAACAAACATATGGGAACTGTTACAGTTTGGAAAGTTAAAAAGCCGTCTCCTATATCCTTTACCGCGGCATAGGCTGCGACAGGTGTTTATAAAAAATCAACAGAACGGTCTAACCGGCCAAATTTCTCACAAATGACCTTGGTCACGAAAATTCCAACCCCTCTCCAAGAAATAACCCTCCCCAGGCGAGACACGCGGAGTGGAATGTACTAGTTGAGTCAGTAATCACTTGGCAGGGCGCGCGTTTATCGCACACCTATAACTGCTGTAGTTGAGAACGGCACTTAATTGAGGGAGACATGAAGCCGACCGTAGCAGATCAAAGTCGTTACATAGACGCGGCAGTTCGCCTGATGTTAGCCCTGTTGCGTCGTCAAATCCGGACGGGGAGGGAAAGTTGGCCGATGGCGAGCGTTAATCGAGAGTATACTTCAATCCCTT